TTTTTCACTGTACCTCATGGTGCTTATTAATAATAGATTATTCTTTTCATGTGTCTTAGGGGGTGGTGGTGGTGGTACTACAGTGACAAGTATGTTGAGACAGTTCATTTTTTACCAAGCCAGCAGCTGCATTATCAGTTTGAATGGTATGGAAATGAATTTTCATACTTACTCAAAAGTAAGGATTAGTCTTTCACGTGGCCACCTGTTGCATTGGATTTATTAGTCCTCCAAGCCCTACTGTTGAGAATTCTGTCCTTCTATTAGCAACCTCACAACATCCTTTGGTAAAAGCAACAATGCTTAAAGTAATCAAGCAAAAGCTGAAAATTTTAGTGTGCCTTTGTGCCTGCTTTTCTCTCCAGAAGTTACAGCACTCAGTAACCTGCTTCTTCACTTAGATACTGTTTTTCTTCCTATTTTATTTTCCTTCTATTTTTGCATTGAATTTGCTGATGAAGATAAGGCTAATAAAAGCCTGAGCTTGTAAATATCTAAGATACTTAGAGCTGTGTCTAGCTAAACCTTGCTAACCTTCCCTGAATTGCTTGCATATTTAGTACTTAGGAGCTGTTTGGGCTGTCCTGTTTAAACATCTCCTCTAACTGAATGTAAAGAGTGACACCATAACTCAGTATTTCTTGGATATTTCCCTCTACTTATGCAGAGCCAATGTGTCTGAGCCTTAGGCTGGGAGTGGCTTGTGCTGCTTAAAATAAAAATTAAATTACAAGATTTGTGGGGTACTCCTCAAAAACTGAAAGTGCTGTAAGAGGTAGGTGAGGTCACACCTTAGAAACTGTCCTTTGAGTTTCTTCTGTTACATTTTCAAGCAAAGGGGTAAAAGAGGCGTGTTGTGGTGTGGGGTGTGTGATCTTGCCACTTGGAAAGATGTGCCATTATGATTCTTTTTAGGGTGTGAGTTTAAAGGACAAGTTTTGGAAAGGATATGAAGTAAGATCAGTGAGGTAGCAGAACTACTGCTGTGTTGCATACTTTATTTTAAATCTGGTGGTTTGACCAAGTTTACATGCTATGATTTTCTTAAGTTTTTCTTTTTTTTTTTTCATTCCCTCTACTGCTCTGCAGTAATTTAAAAATACTGATTAGCATTAGGAAATGTTACACAGTAAAGGAGTTCTGAAAGCAGGATACTTTCTTCTAGCATGGAACAATAAAGAGGTGCTTGTTCCAAAAGTAGCTCCCTTACAGTCAGAAAAGAACAAGTTTCAAATGCATCTTTTATGTGGTTGATTGTAGAGATCTGTTAGTGACACTGTTCCATCATTCACTGGTACTGATAGCATCTCCTAATGAGGCTACCAAGCAGAATTAAGTAATTGTGTGCTACAGTTGCTTAACAGTGTCTGCTCCAGGGATTATTAGTGGGATCTTTTTCAAGTAAGTGTTCCTGAAAAAAGTGTCTCCTAGGTTTGGGGATCACAGTATGTTGTAAACAACTGGCTTTTTATGGGAATAAAGCAGGGATGAATGCACTTGAAAAACTTTATTTTACTCTTCATTTGTAGGGTATACAAATAGCCCGGACCCATGAGTTAAAGCCCTACATTATATTCATCAAGCCACCCAGCATAGGCTGCATGAGGCAGACTCGTAAAAATGCCAGGATCATTACAGATTATTATGTGAACATGAAGTTCAAGGTGAGATTTGAGAATAAAAGAGATTGAGTTTATTAATCTGAGATTCTGTTACTAGAACATAATGCATTCTACTATGCTACGCTGTTAACTCTTAAAAAAAAATTACTGTGTCTTTAGGATCAAATCTAATTTTTATTATTTTCTGTGAATTTTGTTGGGATTTCTTTTCCCTTTCCAGACTGGCTTTGAAGCATAACAATTGTAATTTGTAACCTAGGGGGCTGAGGCACTTAGCTTCAAAATGTCTTAAAGGAGAAGCTATTTTGCATATTTTTGTTTTATTTTGCTGTCTTGTGTCAATATTTGAGTCAACACATATGTTTACTGCTTGCATTGAAATACTTGGAATGTGCTTTGTTCAGAAGTATTATTATTTTTTTCAGTTATAAGAATGTATGCTTAGTGCCAGTATCAATCCTGTACTAAGTTCTGTAGCTAAAACACAGATCCTGCTTGCAGGAAATGCATCTCTTATATTTAGAATATATACAGCACTTTGACACAATTGTTTCCATGCAAATCATCATCAAATTTAGCATCTTAACCTTTTGTAGACCTCAGTCTATAACTATGTGGAAATGATTCATGATTGCTATGACAGAAAGTAACATGGACATGGGGAAATAAACCAAAATTTGGAATAAGAACACAAGCATTTGTAGATTTACCTTCCAGTCTCTAACATTCTCTGCCAGCACTTATCATTAGAGTAACTGTTTTAGGGCAAATGGAGTATCCTGAGACACAAGGTACTTCCTTGGGAAGCATATGGCAGGCAGCTCAGTTTTTGAGACCTGGAACTGACTGTAGCAGAGGTACTTTATTATAGCAAACTGTAAATGATATAAAGCAGACTGACATTATCTATTCACCTCTTGTTTATGGGGCCCAAGGTGTTTTGCAGATGCTGTGCAGGAATGTTTACATACACTGTCTACACCACACTGAAGTTTTATGGATTTACTCTGTCTCACAGGAAGAAGATTTACAGGAGATGGAAGAATCAGCTAAGAAAATGGAAGCTCAGTTTGGTCAGTTCTTTGATCACGTGATTGTGAATGACAATTTACAAGAAGCGTCTGCTCAGCTGCTGTCTGCAGTACATCGTGCACAGGATGAGCCCCAGTGGGTCCCTGCAGTATGGATATGCTCAGACAATCAGCCCTAATTCTAAGCAGCAGGCAGCTTCAGAAAGATTACAGCTTATGTTTTACTTCAAGAATAATCCTAATGTCAGGATTGCAAGAATTTATCTTTGTACGTGAGGGATTTGGAAGAGGATTAGGAAGGAAGCTCCAATGGGAGATATAATCATACTATGTTCTGTGTAGCTTTTGAGCTTTTTATGTTACACTTGGATCCACTTTTGTACAAAAAAAAAAAAGATACTGTGAGTACTCAATTACAAGAATAAAGAAAAATCTATTTTGTTGCATGTATCTGTGTTATTTACTTACACATAAGTTCAGAAAGGTCCTTTCCTCTCTTTCTGTTATGCTTGTTCTGGTTCTGTGATGCCTTTACATAGTGGAAGCCTTACAGATTATATTAAGTCAGAATGTGCTTTTTTTTTTTTGCATGGTGTCTGTCAGTAGAGTGTTATTTATGAAGGTATTGGTTTGTTGCTAATCCTTTTTACCTTTTAGGATAGGAGTGGTGTTGGTATAATATGAATTACTCCAAAACCCAGTTATCGTCATGATACGTGTAAATATTTTTCTGCTCTTCCATCAACTCCGGTGAGTACAAACTGATAGAATGTGGACTTACCAAAGAGGAAGATAATCAGAAAATATTTTCTTGTGTTGGTTTGGTCTGTGGTAGCACAGGCTCCTCATCAAAGGGTGCAATGCTTGTGGCAACTAAGTTCCTCACTCTCTCCACCTCGTATTTGTAGCTGTCTTGCTGCCTGAGGTACACAGATGGTTCTTTTGTTGGCCTACCTCATCTTGGAGGAAAATCAACAAAAGCGAGTTAAGCAGTCTAGAAAGAGGTTATTTAAAGAGAAGTGTTACAGCCACCAGGATGCCTGCTTGTTCTAGAGTCATGGCTTGTATTCCCTGTTTAGAGGTAAAATGGCAGAGACCGAAGCCCCAATATGTCATTGATGTGGGTAAGTACTGACAGAGGGTGAGACAGCAGCCAGCCCTCTGCTGGTGGTCCATCACCAGCTTCCCCACTTCTGCCTAGTCCAGCATTTGTCGACTCTTTCTCTATGCCTTTTTTCCATGTATTATTTCTTACTTTTTTTGGTGTTTTGTTTTGTTTTTTCCGATTACTTCATTTATCAGTTTGAGACTCTAGGTACAAGGTGAAGTAATCCAGAACCCTTTTCCCCTTAATTTTGCTTGTCTGCAGCCCGAAAGACGACGACTACCGCTCAAAGCCACGGAGCCGATCTCACTCCAATAGGGCAGCGGCCGGCGAGCACGGCAAACGGGAAGCCGGCCCTCCCGGCGCTGGGGCTGCGCAGCCGCGGCGCGGGGCGGAAGGAGCGGCGGCTCCTCCCCGCAGAGCCGGAGCTGGGCGGGCGCGGCCCATGGCGGCGCGGCGGGCGGGCCCCGGCGTGGTGAGGGGGTGGTGGGGCCGGAGCGGGAGGGGGGCGCGAACGGCTCCGTAGGGCTGCAGCGCGGAGGGCCCGGCGGCGGGAGCTTGGCCCACCCGAGCTGTTGCTGAGGGGATGTGGCCGGGCGCTCCCCAGCCGCAGCTGCTCCGGGAGGCGGAGCTGAAGCGCGGAGCGCCCTCGTAGCGCGGCTCCTGCATCCCCGCCCGGCTGCATCCCGCGGGAGGGGGGAATGTAACCGGCCGCAGGGTCGCGCTTTTCTGTCCGTCTCTGTTGCGGAAGCAAACAAGCATTTCCTCGTTGTATTTTTTCATATAAACCTCTCAAAAAAAAAAAAAAAATCTGCAAGGCTTTAACAAATCTTTGAAGGCTGCTTCAGTGTTTTTAAACATTCTGGACATTTAAACCTTTCCTTCTCAGCATCCTGGAAAGGACACCCGGGGAGCTGGGTAGTTTGTTTTCCCCCGAGTTTCCAGGTGTGTCCCACTGTCTCGTAGCCTGGTTCAGGTGTGCAAACACACGGTTTGACCGAGGCAGCGGCTGCCTGGTTTGTCGAAGTCTCTTGGTTTTGGGACTTTAGAGCACTCAGCGGCTCTTCTGCCCATAACAAAATATCCATAGGGACCTGTCCCCAAACTCACCCTTTCTGTGAAATTTGGGCTGAGTTACTTCAGACTCTGTGAACCTGCAAATAGACAAAGCTGATAGCTCTATGGCAGAGCTGGGGACTGTTATGCAGATGGACAGATGAGTATTTATGACTGGCTGCTTGCATGGGGTGTCCTGTGTTGCAAGGAATAAATGATACAGAAATCAACGCACTTGCCAGTTGTTTTGTAGAAGGTAATAAAATAGAGAGATACTACTGAGTGCAGAATTACTATTGCATAGGCAGTGAATGCTGTATAAAAGGTTTGTGGCTTTTGTTTGTTTTTATGGGGTTTTTAGCTTTTAGGTTTTTTTAAATACCAAGTATCCTAAATATTTACTATTTACTGCCACAAGAATGTTGGAAACAATAAAAGTAATGCGATCTGACCTTTACCAATATTTTTTTCCCTTATGGTGCACCAATGTAGTGTGACCAGTCCCCACCAGTTTGCTGGGTGCCACTTAGGGTGTGCAGTTCTCTACCTGTCTAAGTGGCACTTGCTGTCAGTCTTCAGCATGGCCAAAATCCAAGTGACAGATTTGAGGTCTAATCCCACAAACCCTTCCTTGCATGAAGCATCTCATTTGCTTTGGGTAAACAAACCAATGTAAAACTTGCTTATAGGAACCTATGCCAGCATGCAGAGTGAAGGGTTTTTTAGTGCAAGTAATATTTGCTGCCATTAAACAACCTGCCCTTGTTTCAAATGGGAGTAGTTCTGGATCCTGACCCAGGGGCAGGAGGGTTCAGCTCCAGCTAATCCTGGCTGCCTGAAGTTTATTTTTAGTTCAGAATTAGCTGAGGTTCAATGTGAGCAGTGTGAGGGAGCCTAGACCAGTTCACAGTGCCTCTTCCAGGGAACGACTTCAGATGATATGGGAAAGAAACAAGTGGTGAGTTTGTGAATCCTTGAGTCTTACCGGTCTTATGGCCCTTTTTATTTCTGGTATCTGAATTTTCCGAGCATGGGAAATACTTTTTTGTGTATATTCTTCCAATATAATTGTGTAATACAAAATCTGAAAGTTAACTTATTTTTCTAGATAAGAGAAAAGTACAAGCTCAGTTTCAGATTGTTTTCTGGAGATCCTTTTAGATTTTAGGTGTTTGACCTGCTGGTAAATATGTTCAAAATTATATGGAAAAACTATATTTTATAATACTTTAAAGTATTTTCGTAAGTGAGCTTTTTTCTTTTTATTTATTATTGTTCTGAATTTACATTTTCATTAATAGAAAATGCTCAGCTCATGTCATATACTGTAAAATTATACTGAATGCATAATTTTTTACAATATTTTTATTTATTTAAATAGAATGACTAATAAGCTTTCTAGTGAAAGTGGTACCTTACATGAAAAGTGAAAATTATTGAAGCCTGAATGCAAGCTGTTTCTCACACACAGAGCTTAGCTGTATGTTCCTACTGCAGTGCCCATCAGAACTCTGGTTGGTAAAGGCATATTAGTCCAGCATCTTTTACATCCTGCTTTTGTATCACATCTCCATTAGGAATGTTTGGCCATTTAGGAGGCATACAGAGCAAAGCATACCTTGGATGTTCAGATCTGAAGCTGTTTTCTGAGAGGTGGTTTCATACTGGCAGAAGCTGACTTTTGTCTCTCTCTTGTCTTTCAGTGCCCGCCTCGTGCCCTTCCTCCAGTGCCAAGGTAAAATCATTGCATTCTGTGGAACTGATCATGATGCTGTACTGCAGATTTTGAAAGTAGTAACATTAAAAGAAATAAGTTTCATAAACATCTGAGCAGTAAAATTGCTTCTCTTGCTAATTTATTGTCCCAAAATGCTTTACAAGGAATGCAAAACATTTTAAAGTTTTATAGAAGCCAAGAAATTTTACCATATTACCTCAGTTTTAATACTCATGAGAGATAAACCCTTTAAAAACTTTTAGACAAATATTCCAGTTTTAATGTCTAGTATAGCTTAATATTAATCTCTTCTTCCTCCCTCCTTCTTTTATTATGTGTTCTTTAGCTTATTTGAATCACAAATACTTAAAACCAGGAAATTCTGGAATTAGGCTAGATATTCTTTAACAGGGAGTTAGGTATCTGTCAGTTTGATGTAGTATAGGAAAAAAATTGGGCTTTTTTTCAGTGTGAACAGAAAAGCAATTATACAGTTTTTATGAGATGGTACTTGAGAATTCCTGCAAAGTACCTGCAAGTAAATGTGATGTTTATGATTGTCGACAGATAATGTCTTTTTAGTGATGTATGGGCTCAAATGTTTCATAACTTCTGTTGGTTTGTTATATACCAGGCAGTAAGACAAGTTTTAATTAGCCAGGTGATTAAAGCTTTTAATCTGATCCACAGCTAGCCAATCAAGAAACTGTGTGTAGTCACCAACAAAATGTTGAATCTTGCAGATTGCTTCGTACCCTTAACCCTGTTATACACATCTGCTCATAAAGAGGAGGGGGGATAAGGAAATTAACCATAAAAGCAGCAGTGTGAATTTCATGGTTGTGAATTGTAATTGATTCAAAACTAACTTTCTTTTCATCTTTTTACACTGCTCGTCAACACTTCAATATGAAGTGGAAGCCAAGGTGAGTTATTAAGGAGAACTACAAACATTGGTAGTTCCTTTTGGTCATTCTCTCTTTAAAGATAGAGCCTTATACTTTTCCTAAATGCAGGCTGATTATTTAAACTGGATGCCTGTGCATTGTTAGAACTGTTGTTTTTCTTTGCTGTCTTTATTGTTAGCTATTTCCATCAAGGTAACTGAAGTGTTGCCACTGTGCTTTGAACAATAAGTTTCTTTTGCAGAGCATTTTTCACAGTATTTCAGTTTATCACTTAACACACATGCATGCGTGTATTGCGCCTTTGCTGCACATAGAACTTCTTACCCTGATTTTTAACTCTGTTTTCCTGCCATCTGTACTCCTCCTCCTTGTGTGAACTGGTGAATTGCCATCTTACCTGTAAAAACAAAGAATGTCATAATTTGTAAAAAATAATGTTTTCTTAACTTGCAAAAGGATGGTTGTTAAAAAAGAATATTGAGGTTTTTCCTTGCTGTGCACCCATACTTCTGTTGTATGTTATACAGATGAAATTCCACTCAGTCGTCCCAAAAAAAGGAAACCCAAAGGAAAGACTCCATTAGGTAAGGTCCTGCCAAGACTAAAAACTGTTCTTTTATTCCTTCCATTTTTTCCTTTCTAACTTCTTTGCATAATTCATTAAGTAGACATTTCCAGCTGTAAGCTGCTTATGTTGAATGTGTTAAGCACTTGAATTTTTGAATGAACTAAGATAAAATTCATTTAGCAGTCTGGTTCAATTTCAGTCCTTGGCCAAATAAAGGCACAAGTTAATCACTTTATTATCACTGAAGACTTGACTGTAAAAGATTATTATTCATTGGTTGCTTTTGCATTTTTGCACAATGAAGGTTTATAAAAGGTGGGTAAACTTGACTTTGAAGTGGAAACAAAGATTCAGTTGTTACCATAAAAAATGCTGCCCTTGAAGGCGCTATTTAAAAGCAGGTGCGATGTAAAATGGAGAAGTAATTTTGTCTTTCTGCATCTGATCATGATGCTACTGCACTATAATATGAATTCATTTTAACTTTTCACAGAAATATAATTCCTCCAAAGTATAATATTTAATTGCTCAGACTGGAGTAAATATCCCTCCATGGATTTTTCTGCTCCTTTTTTATTCTTGTACTGTATGTTTAGCATTTAAATTTTTCTTTGATGTGATGCCATTTTGCCTTAGCACATATCTGTGTGGATCACCTTGTAATAAACTATTACTTTTTTCTTGGCTCTTGCACATAGAAAAGAGAAATATAAAGGTGTAGTTCTTTCCAGTGATGGATTCTTGTCAGGCAGTCCTCTACTGTATGCCCAAATGGGAATTGTGCTGCTTCTTGGATACTTAAATTCTCTCCTGAGCATGATACTGTTTTACTGTGAAATACCTTTGTATATTTCTACTTCTCATCAATGATCCTCAACTCTTACATTTCCTATAGCCAATGCATTTTCATCTCAGTTGTTGCTCAGCTGGGCAGTAAATGGCAGCTTTGTTTTGCCTGTTTCTCAGTGGCTCTGAGTTCAGCTGCTGGGTGTTTTCCTGTGCTTTGTAGATGGCATTGTGCAAGCAGCGGTTCGTCGGCAGTCTGAAAGCAGCGAGCCCCTGACCCCTGAGCCCCCTGATGCCCCTCCTCAGAGGAAGCGCAAGAAGAAGAAAGTACCTACTGGTATGTGAGACAGTGGTGGATGGGAAAGAGAAGTGAGTAGAACTTGGGAACACAGAAATGTTACTGGACAATGTGTATTTAGGTTTAAAATATTTCACGTGCTTCTTTACCTAAAACACATGAAGGTAATCTCTGGGTGAGTGGTAGCTTAGAGTTTCGCTTTCTGGTTTCAGATTTCATAGCATACAAACCTCCATGAAAATAATGGATATACAGTTTTGGAAATTATGTAATTCTTAACATCATTCAAAGCTCAGATCATTACTTTTTTGCCACTCTTTTTATATAATAACTATTTATGTATTTAGGTGCATGTATTCCATTTTTATGAAAACTCTGAAACTTTCATGTTGGGTTGGTTTTTTTTAAATCTTCAGATTCTGAGACCTCTTTTACCCAGCAGAATGTGGCATCCCTATTTCAGAATGGAAATGGCATGGATGTCCCTGACGCTGAAGAAACGGTGATCCGCAAACAGAGAAAAAGGACAAAGTGAGACAAAACTAGTATAGCTCATAATCTGGACTAACTGTAGCAGTGAATGTGGCTGAGGAGTATTTTACTTTGTCATTTGGCAAAAATGTAAAATCTTGAAGCCCACAGTACCATTCAGCCTGTGCACAGTTCTTTCCAGGGTTAAGGTCTAACTTTTTTCACTTCTTCGTTCTATGCATACCTGGATGCATCCCAGCTCTGAATACATTTTCACGTGTCTAATAGTTCAGTCACAGACATGAAGAAATTAGAATTTGGAGCTGCTTTCTGTCATTCTTACTATCTTAATTATATGAAAATTAGCATTTTTCCCCCAATTATTCTAATAAGTTTTATTCTAATATGTTCTAATTATTAATCCCTTGATATGGAATTAGTCTTATGGTTTTAGTCAACTACCTCCATGGGAACTTTAGTCCTTAAAATTATAAACAGGGTAATACTGTACAGGTCATAGTCTGATGGGTTTTTATCACTCAGGTTAGGCATGTTAAATGTTCATAGGAGCCTTTGGATTTTACACATTATCTCCTATTCTTTCTCTGTCCCACTGAGTGCTCTGTGCCAACAGGAAACCTCGGCCAGCCGAAGTGAGCTCCAATGAGCTGGAAGTGGAGGAGGAAGACATCATTGAAGATGAGCACAGGAAGAGCCCAGATCAGCAGCCTGTGTTTGCTGCTCCCACTGGAATTAGTCAGCCTGTTAGCAAAGTGTTTGTTGAAAAAAATCGTGAGTACATATTGTGATTTAAGTAATTTAAGAACATTCTTGCAATTAGAAGCATTATTGTATCTAAAATCTAAATACTGTAGTATTGGGAAGAATTTTTTTAAAGTTTTCCCAAACAGAAATTATTTGGAAATAAATGCACATGATAATTTTTCGACAGTGGTCAAAATGGTGGTGTTACTGTGCTGATATATTTGGTTTGATTTTTTAATTCCATGGTGGAGGTGAAAAAGATTTCAGAGTACCCAGCTGTCCACAGCGCCTTGAGAAGAAACTATTACTTACTAGAATTCTTTCAAATGGAAGTTTTTTGCAGGGTGTTTGTGTTTTTCTGTTGTTTTATTTGGGGTTTTTTTGTCCCAGGGAACACTGAGTCATTTCCCAAAGTGCTTTGCACATTGTAACTCCATAACCTGACCCACCAGGATGCATCATTCTGACCAGAGGCATCCTGTATCAGTGTAAGCTGACAAAGGGCAGGAAGTGGGGAGAAGAAATTTCTCATGCTTCTTAACAGCTTTTTAACACTAATAAGCATTTATATAGAAAGGATGGTGAAAGGAAACAGAGCTCTCTAAAACTGATCTCCTTATCCTTTCAGGCCGTTTTCATGCAGCTGACCGTGCAGAATTGATTAAAACCACTGAAAATATCAATGTGCTTTTGGACGTGAAGGCTTCGTGGACTACTAGAGATGTTGCCCTCTCAGTGCACCGAAGTTTCAGGTGAAAAATAAATGTTCAGATGTAAATAAACATAAATCAGGGATTTGGTTTGAGTTTTTGGGGTTTTTTTTCCCTCCCTGAAAATTAGTGCCTTTCCTCTATAGTTGTGGTGTATTTTTATTTCTTTTGGATATTCCTAATAAATGGTGGTTCTGGATTCAACAGGTATAAAGTTTATCAGTCCTCTAGCTTTTGGTATTTGTTGTCAAGATTATAAATTTCCAGTAGACATCACATGTGAAACAGAGCTTATAAAAAGAAACTAAGAAAGCCATATTGCAAAGATTCAGACAAAATTTCAATAGCAAGAGATGGAGCCAATAACCAAAGCATTATTTACCTAGAGAAATGTGTTAGAAAGTAGGACTGACCCATCATGTGTATTACCAGAATAAAAATACCTGAGTTCAGACAGGTACTCAAAGAAAAATCCTGGTTTGTGGGAAAGAGAGAGGAGTGAAATTGTACTGGGAGAATAAGCTTGTACATAATAGCAAAACCATTACTTTTAAAATATGCAATTGTTTTGTAATAGAGAAATGGGAAGGTAACAGGCATCTTCTTCTGTGGTGTATTTTAGCTGGAAGCCTGTGCTTGAGCCTGTGCTCAAGCTTTTACTTAGCAATGAGGATATTGAAGAGATTGCCTTGGGGACAAGTTAGAATGTTGTGTGAGCGCAAGGGACAGTGGTCATGGGAAACTACAGACAGCTACAGGTGAAAGTGTTTGATGCCTGTGGCTGTAATGAAGGGAAGGCAAAACATCTTTGTTTTCTTTAAGTGCTCAGGTTCTGGTGCATCTGGTGTGACAGGAGCAAACAGAAATCTTGCTTAGAATTTTTTAAACTAGATCAGAAAAAGCACTCAGAAACAGTCTCTGAAAGCCCTTGAAAAGCATGGTTAAACAGATGGATTCATAGGCCTTTTCTATCTAGAGCTAATTGAAGATGTTAAAACTGGTCTAATGTTCTTTCCTCCATTCAGGGTGTTGGGCCTCTTCACCCATGGCTTCCTTGCTGGTTATGCTGTATGGAACATCGTGGTTATCTACATTTTGGCAGGAAATGAGCTTTCCATGGTTTCTAACCTGCTTGAGCAGTATAAGACAATAGCATACCCAGCTCAAAGTTTGTTCTATTTTTTGCTGTCTATCAGTACAGTCTCAGCCTTTGACAGGTAAAACATATTTGTATTTGAAAGGTGTATATATGTAATTTGTGTATATGATGTTCCTTTCTCCTTTGGCACATGTTGATTTGCTGTTGATGGTTTAATTGATATACTCAAAGAATGATTTTTCACATGGCTGACTAAACACAGAAGGGTGTACTTGTGCATCCAGATATTTGGTAGTAATTTCTGTCTGATGCTTGCACCCTGCTTCAATGTACTTCTGCTGTTTGTGGGATAAGGTGGTGAAGCAAATACAAGAGCTGACCTGTTTTTTTGTGGTGAGACTGTGAAGAGGGGTGGAGAGCAACAAATGTTTCTGTCAGGTTCACTTTCATCTGAATCCATTGCCTAGTCAGGTTTGAAACATAGCTGAGTGAACACTTTTCCTGCCTTAGCTGGCACTTATGCATTACAGATTAAGAGTGGGAATGAAAAGAAAGAAGCTCAAAAAAGATCAATAACTAGACTAGATTAATGGATGTTACAAATGTTTCTTTTACTTACAGGTAGGATAAGCCATTGGGGAGTTAGTGCTGTGAAAAAAATTGTGACTTTTTTCCATCCCAGGATGGCAGGGAGGAGTCCCAAGTTACTCACATTTGCTCCTGTAAGCAGTTACATTAGCATGGCCACTGAACTGAATGGCAAGGATTAGAAGGGACAGATGTCCCCAGGTTCTCCCTGTTTCAGAAAGGTCTGCAGTGGAAACCTCATGGAACATTCTCCTTTTTTCTGGAATTGGCATGACAGGGACCATTGCCATGAGGGTGGGATATGGTTGGAAATTAAGGCACTGTTACAGAGGCAGAAAAAATACCTTGCAGAAAGTAAAAGAACAGTAGAATGCTGTTAGAGGAACAGTATCATTGTCTTACTGGGCTGTGTTAATGACTCTTGATTTTGTTATCAGGATTGATCTGGCAAAAGCATCAGTTGCACTGAGGGGCTTTCTGACCCTAGACCCAGCAGCACTAGCTTCTTTCTGTAAGTATTTTGAAGTGGATAGGAAGCTGTCCAGAAAGTATGGTAAAAAAAAACTCCTCCATACTCTTTTTACTGAAATCTTCCTCCCAGGTTATTTTCTGCTTTAGAATAAATTACTTGCTCAGTAGTTTATAATAGCAATGGCCATAAACACTTTGTTCCATATTTTTTAAAGCATTTCTAATAGTAGCATTAGTGGGATTGTTAGTGAGGTAGTTCTTTTCCATTTCTGAATATAGAACACAAACCTAGCAAATAAATAGAATCACAAAATGTAAGTCTGATTTAGTTCATGGATTGCAAAAGTGCAGAAACCAGATTTTGATAGGTCAGGGGAATGTTAAAGAGAAGAGAATGAATTAAAGCAGACTATGATTGGAGGCAGAGGAGTAAAAGGAAAGAGAATGCAGTCATTAGTGCCATGTCATGATGAGACAGCATTTTGGGATTTATGTCTGACACTACTAACTCCATTTCTTCCAGTGTACTTTGCTGCTCTTATCTTATCCTTAAGCCAGCAGATGACGTGTGACAGAATCCACCTCTACACGCCACCTTCGGCAAACGGCAGTATCTGGTAGGAAACAAGGAATAAAAACCCATAAATTATAGCATAGCTCACTTGGGGACCTTGTCAAACTGGCAGATTGAAGAGATTGTACAAGATATGTAAGAAACTATTGAAGGATTTTATTTCTGAACCTGCCTTTGAGCTTGTCCTGAATATTTGATACTTTCACTGAAAAATAAAAACTCAGGGATGAGTTTGGTCATGTTGTTTGCAAATCCATTATACCTCAAACAAGAGTCGGAATGATGCTGGAAATGTCATCTGGCAGGAACCTTAAGAATCTCTTTTGCTTGAGAGTGGGACCCTACTGAGATAAGTAACCATTTTGGGGTTCAAGGGCAGAGCATTCTGTACACAGTCAACACTGTCTTTGAAGGAGGCTGCCACAGGATGCATGGCCTTAGCAGACACAGCTGGCATTTAAATATAAACCATCATTTCATATTAGGGGATCCCATCCAAAGCTGTTCCTTTCTGAAGTACCTAGTAATGGACTCAAATTCTGGTAGCAGGAGTTTTTAAAGTAAACCAGGAGGAGTAGAATAAAAGCATTTATGTGAAAATTTGCTGGTTTGGGCAGTTAGTTTTTAGGGGGCTGGAGGTTTAGGGTTTCTGTGATCTTTGGTAATTGTTCTTTTTACCAGGGCTTTGCAATGCAAGACCATCATGATGGTACAAGTAGCTCTCTTTTCTCATCTGGCTTAGAAAACTTGTTTTGATGTTATTCTGCTGCAATTCTTACTGTAATTTCTGTGCACCAATGATGACTGATGGTTTGATGTCTTTCCCAGGACTGCAGGTACAGAGACAGAAATTGTTCATTCGTGGGTTGTGGTGAATCTCGTAGTGTCTGTTCTGGTTGGGACAAGTTGGATCTTCTTAAGCTCCCGACCAGAGCTAGACCACAGTGAAGGTAGGACACATTAATAGGCAAAATGTTTTTAATTCAAGTTGTTGGGTTTTTTATCTGCTGTGCTATGCATTTGGTGTTCAGGACTAGTCCTGAGAAATTTTGTGACTGAGGAAGAAAAAGTATCTCCTAGCAACCTTGCACAGCAAATGTTTCTCAGGATGCTGGTGTCTGTGTTTGGTATTTTAAACATTAATTTAGAAAGAAAAGTTTTATTTGTCCTGTCTGAAGCAATGTGAATTTTGAAACATTACAGAATGTCTCTTTTCAATGAAGAGATAAATAATTTAAAATACTTTAACAGTATTTTAAATATTTGAAATGTATTTATTCTATGTGTGTCTTAGCAAATTCCCTAATGTTATTAATGTTCCTTCTGCAAGTGCTGAATGGGTTACAAGTTCAGTATTATTTTCAATAGGACATGGCAGTAGTTTTGGGAACTCCCTAGCTTTGAAAAGTTAGATTTGTGCTTGCAGCACAGGACTTCAGAGGAGGACTGCTTGTGCTGGTCCAGGCTGGAGGAGGGGGGAGCAAGTTCTTCTCCCTGAAGGAACTTGGCTAGAAACTGGGCCTTCTTCCTTTTGTGTTCCCCCTGAGATCCAAAAGGTGTGTCCCAAGTCAGTGTTCCTGTCAAGTGCGTGCAGCCTGTCACTTGAAGGTACGCTGTGCAGAAAAATCCTAAATTTAACTTGAAACTCAAAACGTATCCTAAGAGCACCATGAGCTGAAGCACAGATTTGTGTTTGGGAGGCTGAGGATTCAACAGGCCTCTTCAAATTACTTTTGAATTTTAGTGTACGGGTGTTTGTATTTCAGCTGGCTCCAGTTACTGTGTTTATTTCTAAGAAATCATTTAATGAGTTAAAAACCCCCAAACAATTAAGTGACAGCCTTTACAGTCTTCAATGGTAAAATTTATAATAGATGCTTAAATCATATTTTAAACCCATAAATAATAAAGGCTTACACAAGGAATCCAGTGGCAGAATTTTACTCGGTTTTTGATTAAATTTTTTGATACTTACATGTGCCTACTAAGACTGGAAAACCACTTTGGAATTTTCTAGAGAGAAATTCATTAGTACTTACTCCAAATAGTAGAGGAAGTTTAGTCTGCTAAGGATGGGATGTGCTAACTTAACACTGTGAGGCACAGAGCAAAATTTATAAAAATGAACAAGTCTCTAAACTGAAGTCCTTCCTTCCTGAGTCTGACACTCTCAAAACTTTAACAGTCCCTCAGTCTAATTCAGAGTTCTGTTTCAGTGTCCATGTTGAATGCACAATGGTACTGCACATGATCAACTGCTAACATTGTCACCAATTCTGTCAATTTTGGGGAGCAGCAAGAGTTTGCTAAAAATATTGGTGGCCCTTGCCATTGCCGAGTTGTTGATGATATGATTGGGATGAAAAGCAGGAGGCTTGGGGGAATGCCAGGGTATTTTTGAGGAATAATGGGATTGTATTCAGGTGAAAGTTTCCAAAGAAAACATAATTTTCTCCATTCTCTTTTAGAATTGATGTTTCATTCTGAAATTGAGGAATTTCCTCACGGAGATGTCATACCCAGAGTTCAGCCATAAGTGTGGAACAAGAATCTGCATATATTATAGCTGTGACTGATGGCTCAACATGTTGTGTATTATAGCTATGTATTATAATTTTCATAAAGAAAAAAATGTATTTTTATATTGTATATATTTCATGTTGAACTTTTTACGTATGTTACAGTTTCCAAACGTGATTGAAAACTTTTATACTTTTGCTTTTTATTTTACAAAGTAGATTATCCCTAGTGCATAAAGTCAAGGTGGTTTTGTAAGTACTGCTACCTACATAGCCAAAGACACTAGAGGGATGCAGATCAGGTGTTCAGTGCTTTTTTGACTGCTCTACACTCCTCAACAATCTGCTCTTGTTACTAATGCAAACAGCAGTTAGCTTATCTGATTTGGTTAAACATGTTCTAGAGATTAAAAAAAATCTTACAGCAAAAGTAGCCTAAGTAGCAAAAGTAGCCAAATTTATAACAAAACACAGTTAGGAAACATAAACCCCACCAAGTTAGTAATCTTAAAATAATCTACATTTGTTTGTCATAAAATATTTTTCTAGAATAAAATACTAAATTGACAGAGATTTTTTTTTAATAATTTATGAAAGAGGATTATTAAAATCCACTTTTTTAATCTTCATTTAGTTCTCTTGACAAAAATCTTGATGATAACAAGTACATATAGGCTGATGTAGATAAAAGACAAAGAAGTTTTAATGTTGCAACAGTTTAAATACAGTTAAATACATCTTCTCATCAAACAGGGTGTTTTTGTGTTGCCAACTGGATGTATCTGTGTCCTGTAATTTCTCAACAGTCAGGAAGTATAACTATTCCAAAGCCACTCACAAGAATAGTGTTCTGATTTCTCCTTATCCTTTTATTCACTGCTCTTTATAAACAAACTTGGATTTCATAGATGTTAAAAACATTCCTACCTATTTTGCCAAATTGTTGTTTTGTGTTAGGATAGAATGGGAAATTTCTTTCTAAAATGACAAGAAAATGCTTATTAAATCAACCCAAAGTGTCTGCAACAACCCACCTTCTGTGCAGTGACACAGCTGTAATTGTGGCAGGCAATGGGTTTTGCTGACGAGATTCATCCTTTTATATTCAAGTGGCAAAATGAAAGCATTGCAGATGTGAATAAATACAGAAATACTGCAGGAAGAAACAATCTCCTTAGTAAACACAGATGAAGTCTAGTTTGAAAACCGTTTATCAAGAAAATATCACCTAAAGCCCAAAACTTGTTTGTATGTGTTACTTAACATATATTGATTTTGCCTTGTTTGATTTAATGCGTGTGTCTGTGGGTGGTTGTAAAAGGGGTGCACTTGTCAAAGTTCACTGAAGAATTACTGAACTTCTTTAGTAGTGAAGCTAGGAGTAGCCAGATAAGACTTGAAAGGAAATGTCAAAGACCTTTCAATGCTTTCTGTGCTAACTCTGTGCTGTTACCTGAGTTGCTTCAAAGCAAACATGGGAATGTGTATAACTAGGGCTGTCGTTGTCCTGTTGAGGACTTGTGTTCTCTTGTGTCTATTCAGCAAATTTAAGTTATTCAAAAATTCAGTGTTTGTGACACCTTTTAAATGCTGTGGTAGTCTTGGCAGGGAGCAAAAAGACATCTATGAGAATTAAAAGATGTTCCACAGCTGTTGGCTACATTCTGAGGCATTCAGTTTGCTGTGGGAAGGAGCCCTTAGCCTCTTTTGTAAACTGTTGTGGCTCTTGTGTCTGTATTTTTGTAAAACTAGAGTTAAATTATGGCACTGCACTGGCACTGCACTGTACATTAAAATGGAGAGATTCAGGGTGCTGATCTCCTTCAGTTGTGCACCTGATGTTCTTGCTGATTTATTTGGCTGTAGGAGATGAGGGATGAGACAGAAAGTGTTCCTGTGTAGTTTGCCACCACACTTTGCTGATGTGTGTTTGCCTGCAGAGTCACTTCCCTCCTGAAGATGAGATTATTAATGGCATGGCTGCATGACTTTTCGTTCGTGTTGGGATGCTCAGAAGTATAATTTTACCCATAAAATATGGAGCTCAGCAGAACTGTGCTAAGCATGACAGTACAGGAAAAGCTTGGATAACATCATTGCTTGATTTCTGACATTAACACTAGGAATTGGCCTTTCAACTATCCCTTAGACAAAGTGATGCCAGCCAAGAGCCAGATTCATTCTTATTGTGAAATACAATTGTTTTTATATGGTTGAGCAGGGATTGAATTAATGAATTTAATGTAATCAGTATTTCAAGCCAGGCTTGCCTTTCCTGTGTATATTTTTCAGAGAGTCTAAGCATATCCATATTTAAATTAATGAGTTTTGAGGCTGCCATATAAAAAGCACAATAAACAGTTGGACAGCTAATTATCTGTTTTACAAAATACTTTTCATTCCATTAAGCCTCACAGTGGAATATGAGTTTAAGTGAGCTTTTCTTTTAGTTTCTTGTAAAATCTTAGAACAAGTTTACAAAATAATTGTTTAATTCTAGAACACGCAATATTTGTAGAAGCCTTAACTGAAATGCCTTTGTGCATTTCCATATCATTGTTTTTAATGCATTTGTGTAAACGAAAAGAAGTTTTCAGATATGTTGGTGCCAAGTTCTTGGTTTTAAGTATATGAAACATGTATTAAACAATTGCTGTAAACTAGTTAGAAATGATGGTACTACTTTGTCTTGTTTCCAGTTGTTTAGTCCATTTAAAATAAATCAGTCTGTCTGAGGATTTGGGATGGGAGGCTGAGGGGCTGTCTGGGGCTGCCCCAGACTTGGGTGGGCAAAGCCCCACACAGCCTGATCAGAGGCTGGACGTCAAAGCTAAATTGTTTTAATTACTTAAATTGTTCTAGTAATTTAATATTTGGTCAATTTCGACTTGGTTTAAACGTTACTCTCTCAAGACAGTTTTCTCAAAATGAAGCCAAGGGGACATAATTTGCAGAGTGCCTTTTTAAAGTAGTTTTGGTTTTGCTGAGGTAAACTTTATGAGGTTTATATGATTAGTTGAGAACTACTCGCTTGTATATTTCCAGCAGAATTAATTTAAATGACTGAAGACTTTGGGAGATCACAGAAAACCATCAGGTAAGTGCCTACAGCTAAGCCTAAGCCTTACCGGTCTCTCCCTTTTTCCTCATAGCGGTGTGGACGGTTCTATTGCATTCCTCAGGGCGGCTGTGCTTGTAACTGCTGTGAAGTCCCCAGGTACTCGCAGAACCACTGTTTTCCCTGGGTGTTATTTTTGTACTGTGCCCCCGGGGCTGCTCTCTCCCTTCACGGCGGCCAAGGAGACCTCCCAGCCTGAAACCCGCCGGTTGCTGTTTCTGGGGACAGGTGCTTAGGGAGCGTTTTTTCCTGCCGTGTATCGCCCTCCCGTCCCCGGTGCGTTTATTTCCCGAGCAGCTTGTCCGTCGCGGTCATTTCGCTGCCCCTCAGCCCTGCCCCGGTCCCCTCTTTCCCCCTCAGCCCTGCCCGGTCCCTCCTCTCCCCTCAGCCCTGCCCCGGTCCCCCCTCTCCCCTCAGCCCTGACCCGGTCCCCCCTCTCCCCTCAGCCGTTTTCCCGCCCTGCCCTCGCGCGGTAACGGCCGCCAGGGGGCGGTGGCTGGGCCGCCATGTCGGACGCGGCCTGAGGGAAGAAGCGGCTGCGCTGCTGTCGGTCAGTGGTTTGGGGCAATGCGATCTAAGTGGGATACCCAGTCAAAAAAGGAAAAATTCTCCCGTGCTTCTAAACACAAACCAAGCTGTTCGCTTTTATAATTCTGTATTTGAAATTTATGTAACCTTTTCTTCGAACGGTACAAGTTGTAGAGCCCTCTGTAGCTGAAAATTGTCTGTGCCGTTTGCCTGTGCTGTATTCAGTAAAATAGCCATGAGAGCACAGCTATTCAGGGCACAGGCAGGCTCAAACAGTGTTACAGAGACAAAAACCAAGATCTTCTCTTGGATAAACATCCATACCCACTGCCAGATGTAGTAGTTAATCCTCACAGTGAAAATAAGCAGATTAATGTACTTTGAAGGGGGGGAGATGACCCTCTCCACCCCTTCTCACCCCAACAAACAAATAAAACTCAAAACAACCCCAAAAAAATCCAAAACAAACTAATCAACAAGAAAGAAAAAACTGTAAATTTGAAATTGTTAAAAAGAGTAGGAACAATGGTAAAATTCTTCCATTTTAAATGCTTGTGATGCTGATATTCAAGCACCCTTGTAGGCCATGGCTCGCCAAAATGGGTCATTTTACAAGTCCAGCATAAGGAAAAAGAAAAGTTGCCAAAAAATCCTGACTGGATATCAAAAGAGAAGCAATGTAGAGAAATGTGCATTACCATGCCACCAGCGTCTGGGTCAAATGTTAATAAATATGCTATTTAGGAAGGAAAACCAAACTACTTTGTTCTCAAAACTAGCTTGAGGAAATCTAGTAATGTAGTGAAGAAAAATCATGGAAAGTATGCTGAACCACCTTTTTCAACATCACATGCTGCAGGCTCCAAGGATTCAAAATCATGTGTTCTCCCATGATAAGGAAAACTTGAATCAGAAAATGGAGCAGGAAAAAGAGCATGACAGCCAGCAAAATATATAATTCCAGAAGTCTGTGATGGCTCCATCAGCTACTGTAGAACAACAGCCACCTCAAACCAGGAAAGCATTTAAAAAAACTCATCCATAACACACTTGGCAGATTTCCACTGGGCAAAAGGAAATCTGTTTGTAAGAATATTTTTCTTTTGACTGCATGAAATGTGAGAATTAGAAAGATAATTGATACTGAATGAAGAATAAGCAGACTTTGAAAAGAAAATGTAGTAGATAAATTCAGCATTGATACTCTACCCATATGTCATGTAAATATTGACAAAACAGAGGAAAACCTCTGCATCCTGCCAGCAATCCATTCTCCTCCATTGCAGATGGATTTCATGAGAGGACAACTGAATTCCATGAATCTGAGTATGAAGGTAAATTCAGTAATAATGGTATATTCTATAACCATATCTAAAAATAAAACCACCACTTGATTGCAGCTAACTTCATATGGGCTTTGGGGAATTTTTCCAGAAGTTTCTGGGATAGTCTTTCAGACAAGAAACAAACATATGTAACTAATTTATAGAGTACAACTAGTTGTTTTCATCTGGGAATTATGGAGGTTTCCACAGGCACCTGTTTAAACCTAATATTCTTTCCTTCATCCTGTCTCAAGTTCCTGGATAGATTTAATTATGTTGAATACCAAATGTTATTCTGCTACCAGATTATTAGTAGACCACCTCAATTTTCAGTGGTTTCTTCTTTTATAAACCAAATTTTTTGTTTGTTACATTCGATTGTTTCATTTCATATTATGGTTCTTACAGTCCTTTGAGGTCTTTGCTGTAATGTGTACTGTTTCTGAATTTTAATAGTTTTTCCTTGTTCATACAGGGTAGGGATGGCTATCATTAGGACAGGCCATTGCTGCTACCTTGGTTGTTTCAGAGGTTTATTACACAAGCTAATATACTTCAGGAAAGCAACTTAATAGTATTAAAAGCATGTTAAGTAGGTATGT